ATATGTATTTAATGCTATATGAATGTGGACACAGATATATGCTTTACAATTAATCTCTTCCTGGAAAGCGAAATCTGACCTCTAAAAATTCCCCCGAGCCATTTTCCCATTCTTTTGTCAGAAATCAGCTCGATGTAAATTGATCGGTCTTTGAAAACATCCAAATCGCCCTGAGAATCATTATCCAGATGTCTATTCAATCAGAAATAATTGATTTCATAGAAACATATAGATGGACACCTTTTCATCTTTTGCAGCACCCAATTTAACGCTACGATACCATCTCCATGTCAGTAGATTTTTAATGTTCGATATACAATCGAAGTTTACATCGGAGGGAAATTTGATGCCCCGAAAGGGATATTTACAATGACAAGCCACAAAACATCAGCAATTTATTTAACTGCATATGATAGTACAGCTGACTTTAATATTAGATCCAGCAATGATGTTGCAAGTAGCCTCTATGGAAATTATGTGACTTGTATGTAAACAGATCCGGAACGATTTCGAACAAGAAGTTATTTGGGGTTTTTTTTGGGTTTTTTTTGCAGAGATCAACGTAAATTGAAATTCTTGCTGAGTAACTTTAAGGGATTTTTTTGAACTGTCGGTAAAGAAAAGATAAAAAAAATGATCTCCTTTGAGACCAGTTAGTTGATTGAAATTATTGCCCAGAAAAATATCTTTGAAAAAGGATGTAAGAATCGATTTGGGTTACAAAGGCTGATGTCAGTATTGGTTTATACTTAATTATTGTCGGAACAGTTTCAAAAACTGGCAGTATAAGGACTATTTACTCTCATTCACACGAATATAGATACAAAAAACATATACACACACGCATACAAGCACACACACACACATATGTGTATATATGTACGTACATATCTTAAGAAAGAGAAAGCACAAATGGAGTTAGAATCCACAGTTCTTATCATTTACTTTTTAAAAAGTGCTCAATACAAACGTAGAGAAAAATATAATATTATTAAAATATTTTTATTATAATAGATTATAATAAAACATTTTACATCACTACACAAAAACTTTTCATTTTTCGAAACTTTAATAGTTTCTTATCAGGCGATAGTAGAGAACATAATACTTACTGTTATTTATCATCGACCGATTACGTTATCTACTATCGCCTGATGAGGAACCATTAAATTTCCGAAACATGATAGTTTTTGTGTAGTGATGTAAAATGTTTTTATTGTAATAAAAATATTTTAATAATAATGATAATAATAATAATAATGATAATAATAATAATAATATATATATATATATATATATATATATATATATATATATATTGTCATCCACAGAGAAACTGTTTCGCAGTATCACAGCTCATCAGTGTGGCTAGATATCCGATTGCCTCAAGCCACGATCGAAAACTGACTGACCTGGCATCAGTCGGAGATTTTTCCCTTAAGCTATCAGCTCCCAGAAGAGAGGAAGGTGAATTTTTACGTATTTATTTTTGAATAAACACGCCAATAACTCAGAGTGCTCGATTTATAGAAGAGCTTTCATTATCAGCAGTATCAGTCCCTGTTTACAAATTCGCGTTTTCCTCTAAAGTGCTCGACCGAATTTTAATTTTTCGTATGCGTATATATTGTCACATATATATATATATATATATATATATATATATATATATATATATATATATATATATTGTCATATATATATATATATATATATATATATATATATATATATATATATATATATATATATTCGGGGGCGTATATATTGTCATATATATATATTGAGAGAGAGAGAGAGAGAGAGAGAGAGAGAGAGAGAGAGAGGAAAGGCAGAGAGAGACATAGATAGATAGATAGAATGACATAGATAGATAGATATAGATTTGTTTCATTCAAAATGACTGAAAAGTGACTTCTGTTAAATTTTCTATTGTGTTTGTTTTTATACGAACAAAAAATGTACAGAAAATATTCAAATGTTTGTTCGTTTCGATCGCTTTTGCCTAATATATTAACCATTATCAAGGGTTTTGGTTGCACTATTGTAAATGGTATGTCATTGCTATTGTCAAGAAAGGCAAAGAACCCTTAACTACATCAACTATGAACATGGCCACAGTCTGCTGGCCGTATTCCCAGTCTCCTTTGTTTGAATGTTGTTTTCCATTCTCATCGACAATTCGTTTAATTATGGTCCAATTTTTCATTGGATTAATACCTGGAGAGTCTGGGGGCAATCCATTGATCTGGTGTCTGCATTTTTGTAGATGAACATAGCCAACTTTACAGAATATGCAAGCGCGTTGTCTTGTCTGAATATATATGGCTGTGAATTTTACCACACAATAAACTTCTTGTCCATGAACTTACCATAATTCTCTGCATTTATTTTGACACTATACTCGACCTTGACATATTCTATGATTTTATTGGCCCAAGCCATAGCTCAAAACATTACTTCACTTACCTTGTTCCCTTCTACGAAGTTTTTTTTTTACTATTTCCACAAAAGAGCCAACATCTAGACCTACGTTCATGCCTATCCAATGTAGCTCTACTTTCATCACTAAATTCATCAGTTTTTGGGTCCTGTCACTGGATTCAACCAACGCCTTTATCCACTGTCTGAGTTCAATCCCCGGTTAAGGCAGTGGAGAACTTGGAGAGGGAAATTAACAGGAGATAACTGATAACTGACATCCATCAAACATGGCACGTGGAACTAGAACAGTCCACCCCAGTGAGCGAAATAAAGGGTGAAGTTCGACATTCCAACTACCTAAAGAAGGCCGGAGCGTACAACAGCCGAAACGTTGTAATAAATATGGCGACAAAGATGAGGACAATAGTCCGAATAATGTAAATAATGTAAAAAAAAAACTAAACAAAAAAAAAAAAAACACGTTATAAACTGACATTTACATGATCTATTATTATATGATTATAAATATACCCTGGTAATATTAATTTTACTGGCCAATACTAATTTTACTGTGAAAACATTGAATTGCACCATAAAATCTCACACAGTATATTTAGTATTTCACGTACATTTTTAATATCACGTGTATGAGGTGGGACTGAAAAATAATCCGATCGACCCGCTTTATTAAAATCAATATTTCAATACCAAAGCATCTTTTTTTTTAAGTATTAAAGGAGGATTGTGGTTTGAGATATCAAAAGTGTTGAACTGCAGAGTGAGTGTGTGGGATGGCATGCACGTCTCCTTGGTTTCATCTTGAGAAATGTTCAACATGCTCTTGTATTTTCATCATTTTTGTTGTTGTTGTTGTTTTATTTTCTTTGATTTGTGATGTGTATACATTTCTTTCCGGGTTCCTAAGGCCAGAAATGGCATCATCACATTTTCCACAGACCAATTAAAAAAGAAAAAAAAAGAACAACACATATTTCACATAGCTAAAGCCCTTCGTAAGGTGTGGGCTGTGCTTGTGAAAACGAGTGTTTCGTCGAATTTTTGTTATATTTTTAACTATTTCTCCAGGTTTCAAGGACGGTGTGATATTTCTTAGCGCACCTGGAATTATGTGAGTTAATATCGCTCGACGGTCTAAGGAGCTCCCGAACGAGGATCTGGTTTATTTTCCTTGCTAATTTTTTCAAGTCATTCTCAGTTTTGTGTGAAAAGAATTTTGCTGATAATTATAATTCTAAATTTTGTTCTTGTTTTTGAAATTGTTTTTTCATTATTTTTTTTTTTCAGAAAAAGAACATCAGCATCTCTACCAATAGAACACGATCTTAATTACATCCCAGAACAAAGTTCGTGGGTAAAACAATGGGCCTTTATGCTAGATGGGACAGTTTATTATATCAAGTTCCGTGAGTATTTGTTAATCAGTTGTTTTAGTTTTTTTTTCTCAATATTGTTTTAATTTTAAGTAAGTATTAAATGCTTACTTAAAATTAAAACAAATAAAAGTAAACAAATAACCAGAAAACACGTGGAGAAATGATTGAATGCTAATAGCTTTTAAAATTTATGGATTTCGAATTAATCATTTTATAAAGGCAAATAAAGTGCGAACACTCCAAATCATGATCTTGCGTACCGAAGACAAGGGACGGTACGATTAATTATTTCTCGCAACCCCCACCCCTTACGTTGTTTATTCGGTACGGCACGTTTATTATTTTTCAATTTTCTCCACGGCACGATTATTTTGTACCAGTTTATTAAACTTACGTTTGTTTACCAAATACAAGTGCTGGATCGATTAAATTATTTGCTTCTATTTTCATCCAGTCATGGTACTTATTTGATACGACACGCTTATTGTTTTTCAAATAATTTTCTCCGCAGCACGATTGTTTTGTATCGGTTAATTACACTTACACTTGCGTACCAAATATAAGTGCTGGCAGGATTAAATTATTTCCTACTATTTTCATCCCAGAATGGTGCTTTGAAAAATAATAAACGTGCGTTT